ATCTTTGTCCAGGCCTGGACTGATGGAATGTTTCCTCCAGCACAGAATACATCCCAGGATCAAAGAGAGGCAAAAGATGATTAGTCCAACCAGAAGAAGAATCTGAAGGTGAACTGGAAACATAAAGAAGAATGATCTGACCAGATATATTGCAAATGATCAAAATGTGTTCAGACTGAACATCAGTAGCACATTATAACAAGGCAGTTTTCAGAAAAATAGGGGGGGGGGGGTGATCCTTCTGTATGTAGAATAAATTAATGTAAACCCCCAAAATAAACTCAATAAAAATGTTGCTTTTTATTAAAAGATTTATCACAGATTTTATTAAATTCTTATTGTGTCCTTTTTACTTAATGAACATGTGAATGTGGACATTTCTTGTCCACGGCAAATTTTATAACAATAATGTTATAAAATTCAAATACTCAAATATTATTCAGTACCACATACTTTCTGAAGCAACTCTCTTTTTTACACAGACATCATTTATCAATGCAGGAAGGACAATTAAATAATAATCCTAAATAATTAGCAGTAAGAACATGACAAACGTCTGAGTTTTGACCTCGTAGTCAATAGTTATTTGTGGAACACTCAGTACCTTCTAGTTGTTTGGTGAAGAGCACCTGCACCAGCAGCCATAAGAAGAGAATGACCATGATGCCCTCGATCACACCCTTACAGCAGAACAGCAGCACAGACTGCCAGAGTGGCTGACCTGGGTACTCCTCATCACTGTAGGGCATGGTGAAGATCTCCTAAAGAACTCTCCTCTGCAGCAAACTGCTTCCTGGAAGAATCAGATGGATGACTGATGAAAACATGTGCAAGCATTTAGTATCCAGGGGAAACTGCTGTGGTTTTCAGAGCCATCTTCAAATGTCTTGATTTTTTGTTTTTAGAAAATGAAATTGAGGCACTGACCAATTAAATAAACTCTTGCTCTTGACACCATGTCGTCACAGTCCACAAAAAGTTCCAGTCCGTCCAGCTGATCAAAAGTCTATTCCCCTGAACAGAAGTCAGTACAACCTGCTTCCTCAGGCAGTGATCTCCGTGACAGTGGGAGGGGACTGGACATCTCTCATTAGTACACGGAACATCCTTTAACCCAGTGGTGCACTATCTGGAGTCACTATCCTGACCTATCCCGTCTGTAAATCAACCTCAGCCCGCCCTCATCCACTGACCGGTCAGCTCTTTTCAGATCTTCTTTACTGAAGTATTTCTCATAGATCAGCTGCACATCAGTTTAGAATTAACCCTTCAACTTTTCTTTTTCTGTTCTTAGTACACCCAGTGCTATTGTGTTTAATAAACCCCAGCTGTGGAAAGACAAAAAACCCAAACATTTTTGTGTTTAATGACAATCGGGAGACGTTACCCACCGTGCAAATAAGCTAGAAACGCTGAAGAAATATATCCTGTGTTCGTTCAGGAAACGTTGAGGGTCAGTAGTTTGTAAGGAGCACGAAATGCTGCCCCCGTGTGGTCAAAATGACATGGTTTCGCCTTCGCAAAACAGTCCTGTATTTTGAAAATGAGCGGGAGTTTCTGTTATTAGTTCAGTTACGGTTGTATTATCGTAAATAGAAAAGACAAACGTGACATTTTTCTACAGCACACATGATTGCTTTATTCTTCATGGCCACAAGTCCAAGGAATACATTAATCAAAGACCAAAACAGACTTAAACACCAAAGTTGATTCTAGTTTTTATAACAGAATGTAAGTTCACAGTGACAAGTTTGTAAATGATAGGTTTTAATGATTGTCCACATATATTATATTTCAGCAGATGGCTAAACCAACACATGCTGCATCAAGCACTAATATTTGCATATTTATCTAGAGGAGTGAGGTAGCACTGTTTCAGTGTTCACTTGTCAAAGGCTTGAGGTATTTACTGATACATTCTTTGTGTTTAAACAAATACAACACAGTCATATTGGGAGGAGTATAGCACTGATAAGTCCAAAGGACATTCCTGAGTCCAGAAGAAATTCCCAAGAAATGTACAAAACCTGGGAATGAAATGAGGTATTTTTATATATATATATATAGATATAGATCGCCTTTTCTAAGCAAAAGAAAATGTGTCTCCTACATATTCATCTCACAACTGACATCAAATACAAGTTTTGCTGTTCAGGCCAAATTATTTAAATAAAAAAAAGAGGAAAATATATGTAAAAAGAAAAAAAATCCATCAGAACTAACCAACTAATGACCAAGTTCTTGTCATTCCATTTGATAAACAGGAAAGCTGACCAACTGTGAACTTCCCTTAAAATGCAACCAAAATGTATCAGCATGAATTTAAAATAACTCATCAAATCAGTAAAACTATTAGCAGGAGATCAGAACTGAGCTTCAGCTTTTTGGTCTTCACTAGCTGCACTTTGGCGACCATACTGTTAAGTGATGTGGAGAAATGGCAGCTACAGAGTCAGTACATATCGCGTTTTAACTGTGGGAGGATGGAGTTGGTGAACTTGTGCGTTTTCTGCTGTAAAGACACTTGGAAAAGAATCCATTTAAAAGACACAAACACCTGCAGATCACAAAAGGCTTTTGGACAGGCACTGAGGTAAACTGTGACCCACATGTTTACTATAGTTACTCTGGACGTGTTTACGGTCAAAACAACAACATCCTGTTAATCATTTAGAGCACGGTTCATTGTCAAAGCTAAGACTGAGAGATTGTTGTTGCAGCTGATTTTCCCTGCAGCCTTCATAGGAATCCTGTGTGACATTGGATGAATACTGTGTAGTAGATTTGAAGAGACTGTAACAGATTCAACAGCTAACAAAGGCCCTAATGTGGTCCTTTGGAAGAGGCGGAGGAGGAGGACGTGGGGCTGTGGGAGGAGGAGAGGGCACTGAAACCACTGGTTCCAGCCAGAGTGACCGCCTGAGACGTCACAGGAGCTGCAGATTTCTGTGCGAACAGCGTTCCTACAAAAAATAAATAAATAATAAAACAAACCAAAACACTTCAGGTTTCATGTATTCTTTCAGTCATTAAATATCCAAACAGAGAGTGACAGTTTGGTTTCATTGCTATTTTGAATAATTTCGATGGCTGTTTTTATTCAGTCTTCATGTCAAGTACTGATGTATTGGTAAAATCAGCAGATTAGATCATGTCAGAATAGTTAAGAATCATTGATATCAACTCATTAACAAATTACTAAATTGTAAATTGGCAGACTAGGACATTTCAACGATAACATCTTAACAGAAAAACAAAAAAAGTTGACTGATTATTAGTTTGAATAATTTACGATTTCAAAGAATAAAATACATGGGCATCACCATTTTCCACTCATATCAGTGGACATACCTGAGTAGGTGGTACCGTTGACCTCCACAGACACACTGATGCTCGTTGCTCCATTTGTGGAGATACTCAGAGACAAATCCTGTTTGCTCTCTGTGGAAGAACAGCAGCAATGAAGAAATGTCAGTATGGCGACTGTGTTCGTTCAACATCATCTCTGTTCTGTTGTGTTGTGTTCTGTTCTGTTCTCACCGTGGCCATTGTTGAGTTTGAGGTTCATTGGGTTGAAGTGAGAGGCCATGGCCAGGAGGTTTTGTTGGAGCGCCTGCTGCATGAGTCGCTGTTGCTCCTCCGCCAGACGCATCATTTTCTTCTCTGGAGTGTCACTGGCTGCTCCTGCAGCTCCTCGCTCCAGTCTTTCTCTAAGATGTTCCAGTGTGGCAGCTTGGGCCAGTTGCTGCTGCTGCTGCTGCTGCTGCTGCCCGAAAGCCAGAGCCATGGGCAAACGGCCAGGCATCACAGGTGTAGTCTCATCTGTACCAACAGAGAAATGACAGTTTTACATTAGATAAACTGATAGCAGCTCAACAACCCTGGTCCAAACCAGTGGTGTATCTGTTCCTGTTACAGTCCATTCACTGCTGTCAATAGTAACCATTTTATAAAATTTCAATCTCTGTTTTTATGGTTTCTAAACATATTCAAAGGACCAACGTTTTGCTCAGTGACAACCACACCACTCAAACTGAGGGAAGTCTCACCTGCATTTCTCTTTAGATTTGGGCTGGCTGAGGCATTCAGGTTGTTTTGTAAAGTTGGAGTGGTTTGTATGGTGGGAGAGGCGAGGTGTGCGTGTGGAGCAGATCCTGGAGATGGAGAGTAGCGATACAGGCTGTTGGTGTAGCTGGGGCGTCGCCCTTCCCTGCGGTTACTATCGATGGCAGCCTGCAGCTCACCAGGAGAACTCAGCTGCTTCTTCTCACACTCGAACGGATACAGGTACTTCATATACCTAGACGGAACGAGTGATTAGACAAATGCCTTTGGTAAATGAAAATGTCTGAAATATTTCTGAAATACAACCCTCGATTAAAGGATCTCTATCCAGCCTGTTGAGACCAACTTAATTTTCTTTAGTCACATTACTGTATGGCAATGTACACAAAAAATACTAATATTCTTTCATTATTTCACAGAATACTTCTTTATGACCAAAACAAACATAAATTGTTACATTCAAATATTATTAAATATCTATTCAAATAATTTAATAATATTTGAATGGAATGCTTTTGTATTTATTTGGTTATTCACTTGGATGGTTGGATTAAAGATTTAAATATTTTTTTAAATTGTTGTCTGTCACATGATCTTCCTCTCTATGAGTTGCCATTAACTGCATTGCCAACACTGCATGGACCCAGACTGCATGCATGACAGTCAAGCTTTTCATCTTTCAGTTAGGATCGTGGAGGTTTCCAGTTGATAAAATGTAAATAATTACATTTACTTTTTCGGGACACTTTGGTTTTGGTTTTACTAATGTAAGATATGTGCCTTGGCTCAAAAAAGGTTGGGGAAAAACTGATTTCATAAATATGTATGAATGGTGGTCGCATTATTTATTTTTTAGTCCATTTCTCTTCTCTTCTATTTCCTCCTAGTAAGTCGAGAGACACCTACTGAGTGCGCAGTGTGAAAGCAGCACTGGTGATTGACGTTGGCAGGTTGAGACCTTTGGTGATTTCCCTCCAGATCTTCTTGTTAATGACCTCCACCAGACCTCCCTTCTCCGTCACCAGCCTAAAAAGTCGGTACAGGTCCAGCACTTGTTTTGCCATGATGGGGATTCTGTTCACAGGAGTTCCTGAATAAATGAGGGGAAAAAAACAGATCGTTAGTGATTTTTTCTACTGAGAGAAGTGAAAAAAATGTCCTACCGAGGGTTAATGTTGAGCAATATGGCTCAGCATGCATAATCTGTGAGGGTAAAGTAGTCTAATGATTAAGTTTATTTCCTATGGATGGGGCACCACAGTGGCATGGCTGCTGAATTGATTTTAGGCCAAGAGCATGAGGAGGGAGTGGAGAAGGAGGAGGGGGGAGTTCAGGAGTGTGTACTGTCTGCCAATCACAGTGACAGCTCAACCCTCCAATCCTGACTGGGATTTATGAAGGAGGCTCAGGAAGTGTTAGAAATAAGACATGCTGTTTTCAAAACCTGGAAACTGTACACACACACACTGTTAGCATGACCTTCATTTAAACAGGTATGTTTACATTCAGTTGGACATTGTTGCATCAGAGTTAACACCTGCCACGAAGAGAAAAGGTTTTCTAGCTTTCCTTAATTCATCTTCTGTAACTTTAATCACCTGTAACCTCTTTAGGGTTTTCAACAGGGGACTCACAGACCCTAGGAAGTCCACAATGACACTTCAAGTCATTAAATATATGGAGACATTTTTAAATATATATATTTTTAAAATGTTCCCTGTTTTTTATTTTGACAAATGAAATGTTCCTACCTGCACGCTGACATAAATTCAACCTATTACAGGGAAAAATATTTTGACTTAATACCCTATCAAACTCAGTTTTATACAACATACTGTCTGTAGTTAGGGTCCTTTCAACATCTCTCCATCAGTTTGGGGGCTTTGCACCTTAAAGTGTTCCTCTGAACTCAAACCAGCAACCATTTTAAATCTCAACTGAACTGAATAAAATCTCAGTTTCATCCCTGAAGTTCTGTATTTCAGAACTTTCCCCAGTGACAACCTCATTTTCCCTAATCCTGTACTATGGTTTAATTCTGTGTGAACTGGAGGTTCGATATAAATTAAATATTATCCACAACAGAAATCTGCCGCTGCTTAATACTTAGGTTTATGTTTCACAACAGAATCTAAAAGATTGTTTTTCTTACCTCGTTTCTGCATAAAAACAAAGAGCTCATCCAGAAACTCCTTCCGCTGTGGATCACTATCTAGTTCATACAGCTGTGAATTAAAAGAAAAAAAAATGTAAAAAAAATACAATGAATGTGTCATCTGTAGTATTTTTCTTTTCTTTTAGTGTACAACATCAACGTCCGCTGACCTTGGCGAAGTCCCTGGATGGTTCTCCTTTGACTTTCCCTCCGTCGTTCTCGTCACTCCAGACACCACTTCCTCGCTGTAAACACAGACAGACAGGGAGAAAACAGAGTGGTCAGTCAACAGCCTGTCCCTCAGACAGTTTCTGATCTCATTTACACAGTACATTCACCCAGGCAAAGACAGAATGAGGGCGCTGTTGTTACCTTAAACATGGACCACTATTGCTGCTTTGACCCATTTAATAGGTCAAATTTAAAACCAAACCTTTTCTACCCCAGCGCTGGAACCAGCATCCCTGTGACCTACAGTAAACAGCTGGAGATGAATGAATGGCCCCACGCTCGTTAGGTAGTTTATTGTGACATGTTATTCTTCCATCACCTCCCCCATGAAATGACAGTTAAAGGTTAAAAATGTGAGTGAAGGGCAGAGTGTGTGCAACTGTGCGGAAAGGCATGCTGGGTAGTTATTGTTCTGTGAGGCAGGGGCAGCGTGATAATACTGGTATGAAAATCTAGACTGACATTTTGAACGCATTTTTAAAAGGTTTTTTAAAAGTATTAAATTAACTTGCTTTGTAATCTGTTATGGTATGGTTTTGATTGATTGATTTATTTCTAATCATTGCAGGTCTACGATCTGAGACCAGACAAATGTGAAAGTAGGTCAAGCCATTTTTCTCAGTTATCAATTGGACGACATGAGAATAATAAGGTCTGAGGTATAGAAGGACATAAAAATTCCATGTGAATGTTAATGTTTGATCTTGAATCCAAATATTTTCTATCACAACTTAATCTGAACTGCACCTGACAACGTAATACTGGAGTCATCGTCTCTTCCAGCTGCTTCTGCGTTCATATTTGTATTGAAAACACAAATTCCAAACGACAAATGCTTATATAAACTTCAACAACTGCAGGAAACACTCATGTCAACCAGAAAAAACTCAACAGCTGCAGGAAACACTCATGTCAACCAGAACCTGTGTCCCCTTGTCTTGTCCATCGATGGACACCAGACTGTAATTTGTGTCAGAACTGAAGAAGCCTCTGACCTGGATTTTTTTTTTTCTTTTTCTTTAATTGCTCATGATCTATCAGCCCTCCCTCTGAGATCTCCTGGTAGATGACAATGGGCATCAGTTGGATCCCTGTATTATACATTCTTGTAACAGTGGTGTAAGGATCCTTCCCCAAAAAAGTGAACCCATCAAGATGGTTTTAAATAACTGCTGTTTATAATTCCTACATTGTTTTAAACAAACTCCACTTCATGACACACCTGTCTGTTCTGAAAATCACACACAGAGGGGGCTGTGGGCAGCTCTGTTTGTGGCAGGACTGCATAGACTACGGCAAAATGTGGGATCATCTTAAACACAACACAGCTGATTTATACCACCCTCTCCCCTCTCCCTTATTTATGGATTGTTTTCTAGCTGAACATTATGTGTCCACATTGTTTTGACACACAAAACCTCCATTTGGAGCGGCTGTTGACACATCTGAAGGCTTCAGTTACCAATGTTTTTTTTTTGTTTTTTTTCATAGAGGCCTTCTATTCCCACAGCAGAGAACCCATTGATGTGAGGGTAGATAAACATCCCAAGCTATTCACCATCAAATGGAAATAAAACCCATCCCCCCTTATTGATGACCAAGTGAGACCCACTGTGTCTATTAACAAAGAGCTTTCAGTTAATTGCTCACAGAGCTTTCACACATCCCGCCCTGGGAATCCTGATACCATTCACTATGTAGGTCAGAAATAGCTTTCTTTTGTTTCCTTTAAAATGACTATTTTTAATAAGATTTAAATTTGAAATATCTTCATTTGAATCACAAATGAGTGAGAAATGTCGCACTACTTCGAAAAAGTATCCCCAGATTGCTTCACCCCGTCAGACGAATAAAGATAGAACTGCTTGTCCAATGACTAAATAAAATAAATACAACTTAAACTTCTCTTCAATCAACAAAACTCTCAGGAGAATCAGTCATCTCTTAGAAAAAAAAGTTTCCACACCAGACTTTACTGCAACCACCCAGGCTCCAAATGTGAAATGCTAATCAAATTATTGGGCCTTCACTCATTGAACGGAGGAAAGATCATTTATCTGACCTCTAGTTGTGCTGCGGCTGAAACATGGAGTGGACACCAGCTCTTTGTCTCCGCCCCACCTACATTTAATGGCTTTTACAGTGAGACTGCACACAAGAGGTGAACAATAGCTTTACAGCAGGGCGAGGCCTATATGACATGGTCTGTGCTCTCTGTGGAGGTCGGACTGACAAAAGATGTAGAGACAGTAAAATAAGAAGAGGGCCATTATATCTGCCTTCAGCAGCTGTCCGATTATCATCCCTATCAGCACAGCAGCGATTACTCTGTGAGTCTGCAGCCAACAATTACATGATTTCAGTGTTGATTATTCAGGTATCTACTGCGTCTTCATCTGCAGCTATTACGAATTGAAAAAAACAAACAGAGAGATGCAGCTCAATGGAATCTTCAAATGTGTGATTCTTGTCGTAAATCATGACTAGATCTGTGCATAGATATAGGTGAGTCTGAAATGACCTCCTACTTCAATAAGTCTTCTTTGAAGAATCTTTACTTTTAATTTAGCTAGCTAATGGCTGGCTACATTATTAGCATTAGTTGTTATTCAGATTTGACCAGGTTAGAGCTAACACTGTAGCGGCACTCCTAACTCTTGGGCCATAGTGTTAGAATTCATAAAAAAAGTTTGCAAATTGTCTGTATCCCAAAACCAGTCTGTGATTAAAGGCAGAAAATAACAGCTTTTCTAAACTCTGTAGATTATAAACAGAACAAAACCCACACAGCTTCTTAGCTTGTTTTAGCAGATCTATATCTGCTCAAAGATGCTAACTCAAATTTGTCTGACCAACACACAGGCTGGTTGAATAACTGCCCTCATTGTTCCATGTGCTCACCAGGGAAATGACACGCCCCCCCATCCCCACCCCCGCAGTTGTATATAATGTATTGATTACTTTTAGCTAAATTAACCCGCCGTTTAGCGTTGCCAGGCGACAGCTGCATTATGCAAAGACTTCCTCCGGGCTGCAGCTACGTCAACAGTAGTAGAATCTTCCGTTTGTGTAGGGCTTAAACAGGGACTTACTAACCTTCTCTCTCTGGCACCCCCCCCGCCACCCCCACCCCCCACGAGACCAAAGTTTTATACTTTCACCATAAACTAACTTTACAACAATCACACAAGAAATCACAAGGATGTGGAATATAGAGAATCTAAATAAAGAACAGGAAATGACTGAACACTACACATGAAAAGCTCATTCTGCTCCAGTGAGATAACTGTGAGGCAAACTTTATGGGTAGCTGCCTGCTGGTATGCTGTGAGGCACCAACCCTGCAGACACTCTGCCCACAGGCCTCATTAATCATAATGCATTGTATTGAAGTGGGGCCTTTTCAAGGGAAACCTACAGAGAGGAGAACCATCACATCAGGCCACATAAAGAATAAAACGAATCCATGAGGAGACCCTCTGTTAGAGGCTTGGAGTTAAATATGTGCCGTAAAAGAAACAACCTTAAAATACACACACTTGTAGAGGTTTCCTCCTCTGTGGTAATAAATACAATGAGGGAGAAAATTCCCAGCTTTATGTAGCGATTGCTCAGACTAGAGTTAACCCTCTGAGCAAACCTTCACCACAAATACATGCTTGAGGCTATTTCTACTAATCCTCAGCGCCATCTCTGTCAGTCCTGAAACAGCTACTTTGACTGGTCAGCCTTGGACCAGAGCCAAGACCAATTAGTTGTGGCAGGCGCACGAATGTGATTTTGAAAGTGTGAAACGTGAGATAAAGTACGGCAGAACAAGGGACCCCTGGCCTGGCCGGTAATTACCCCAAACACTATCAAGATTGGGCATTTTGCCAAAGGGGGCAGCTCCTCCTTTCACATGCGAGAAGACAGTAGCAGGAGCAGGCAGTGAGATTCACAGCAGGAAGGAGTCTTCAGTTAATAAGAGAGAGACACAGAGAGAGTCCTCTTGACCCTGAACATTCAAAGAGACTTTTACCCCAACAGTCCGGGGTTATAAAACACAGTTATTGGACAGCTGTGAAACAAGTCAAACTTTCTTGTTGACACGTACCTGTTTTATTGGCTCATCGTAGCCCCAGTCGGTCAGACCGTTGGGCGATATGAAGGCATGTTGACCTGCAGAGACAGGAGACAGGATGTCTTTCTCCTCGTGCTCCTGCTTCACTGCTGGAGAAGGAGTTTCAGCCATGTGTTTCACAGAGGTGGACTGAGGCGTTGAATACAGGGAGAAGGGGAAACCAGGAGGTGGCAGGAGTCTGGACTTCTTTGTTGGTTGATGGAATCCGTTCACGTTCACATTCTCCTCCTCCTCGTCGTCATCTTCATCGTCCTCCTCCTCCCTGTCACTGTCCATCAGGTCCTGCTCCTCATCGTCCGTGTCGTCCTCCTCCTCTGGGTTCATTCTGCTGAGATGGCTCTTCAACACTTGCTGAGCTTGTTGATAGGCCTGTCCGTCTGCTTTGCCAAACAACACAGAGTCCAGAGAAGCTCCGGAGGCTCTGGCTGCGGCCGCCGCCGCTGCAGTGCGCTGGGCAAACAGCAGCTGAGCCTGGAAATGTTTCTCCTGCAAGTTCATGTCCAGTTTGGCTCCTTGTTGTCTCTGCAGATGCTCCATCACTGCTTCTAACTTCACTCCAACAGGACTGGACTGAGGGAAGCCGGCAGGCCCGCCCTCTTCAGATAGGCTAGACTGTGGGGATTTAAAAAAAAAAAAAAAATCTAAAACCCCTTCATAAGAAAACAACACACGCCTTTTTCTACAACTTCTGGCATTTTACACAACAAATGTAACTCCTATGCTTTTTTTATGCGAAAAAGGTGAGACAATGAAACAAATTGTTTGTTTCGGTGTAAACTAAAAAAACTACACGTTTGCAATTTGAAATGTCTATGAAAGGACTAAATTATTTTGAGGGAAAATAAAAGTGAAACAGTTTGAGAAATCCATTACATGAAGAAATAATCCATCTGAAAAAAAGGGTTGTTATGAAGAAGGTTAGTTTGGTTTATTTCAGGCAAACGGAGCAACAAGATTTAAATGTTTGTCACTTAAATGTGTTTCTTAAAAGGTTTCGTTGTTCAACCGGAACTACTTTCATGGAATGGAACAACAACCACGTTAAAAAACAAACTAACTAACAATTCGATTCCACCCGATAATTAGGTTTATAAGTAGAAATGCGACTTTGTTTCGACACATAACTGCGGCGTATCAACATACCCATGGAAAATACACTGTTTTTACCATTAACTTAGAGGGACCGTGAGTCTATAGGCAGAGGGGGTTGTTATTGATGACTACATTAATCGCCATTTGCTTTGTTACAGTAACAAACAGCAGCAGCGTCGTCGACACTCACCATTTGCGCCTTGGAGAAATCCATCACCGCCAACAGGTCGTATCTAGTTCTTCCTTCTGTCCTTCGACGAGAACGAATCGCATCTCATGACCACTTCGCCCTCCGATAGAGAAGATTGAGATGTGATCAGATGTGATATTTGAAAAAAAAAAAAACCAACCCCTGCGGTGTGTGGAGGCCGGTGTGGTCAGAAGTGGAGAAGGAGGAGGGGAACTGCTGTGTGCTGTACCTCCCTGGTCACTGCGCATGGAAACTCAAACATCTGTGATTGTCTCTGACTGAGTGGCCTACACCCCCAACTTGGATGAATGAAAGGCCCGCCCCGTGCGTAAAAAGGCTCGTTTTCATGTCCACCTCTCTCTTGAGGAGCTGTACCCGCCCACTCCAAGTAGAAATCCCACCCCAGAGCTGAGGCCTCCGCTGTTATTCCACACAAACGCGTGTGTGTGTGTGTGTGTGTGTGTGTGTGGAGGTAACACGACCTCCGCTAAAAATATCACTCGGGTAATGTGTGTGTGTTTGTAGCCTCGAGCTGCTCCATCCACGTTGTAAACAGATCCACGGCCCAGCACTGGTGCTAAAATATGCATGGTAATTCATTTTCTACCGAGAAGACACGCCTCATTACTCACTGCTCGTTGACAGTGGTGTCCATATGTATTGATAGTTTCCCACCCGAGGTTGTATGATGGGAAAACTGTAGCCCACTACTGTGTTTTGGTTGTCACCTCATCTTGTGGCTCTCATTCCTACCCTGCAGATGGTGCAATGTTCTTCAGATCAGTGGTTTCTGGGGGTTTCTGTAGTCCAGAGGTTACAAGAATTCATTTCAGGGATCCCAGTATCTGAATTTCTTTTTTAGCTGTATCTGAGAAATGTGAATAATATGTGATATAAATACTGTATAAAGCACAAGTTAATAGGCGTAACATTTTTATTTTTTGTGTTTTTATTGAAATAAATAAATGTTTTTTGTGGTCAAATCTGTAAATAATTGTATTCATTATTTTGGAAAGAAGTAATTCATATATTAATTTCGTTTTTTGCTACAGATCTATATTCTGATCCTTAAAGAGGGCACTTAAGATTGGGGTTTATTTTACATTAGGATGTATTTTTGTAATGTTTTTGTGCACCTTTTAAAGTTACATTAAAAAAAAAACGACTATTTTTAAAATTCCGTGTGCAGTGTTAAGAAGTACTTTGCTGATAAAGTATGCCATAGGGGTTAGAGAACGTCACTAAAAAGAGTTGAGCACCATGACCTCCTATACATTTGTGACCAATACGTTACACGTTTGCATTGTTGTTCTAAATTCTTTGGGGTTTTTCTTCGTTGTATTTGGTGCAGCAACCACTGTGCTGCCATTTTTCAAGAAACCTTCCATTGCAGACCAGAAGAGAAGTTTCTCATGTGAAGATGCTTTGGGATTTTTCAATAAAATCAAGTAGTATTTCATAGTTCTGATTACCCTTTCATTATTTTTCCAAGCCTCCAAAGTTTTTTCAGCACCTTTAATGTGTCCTTTGCCTGTGCTATATATTGTGTGATTGTCTCTTAAACAAATTCCAGCGACGACTGTATACAGTAAATAATCTCAAAAGCTCGGCCCAACCACAAGGTGTGATATTAAACCCTAAACATCAATTCAGACCTGTTTGTGTATTATTAGGTCAAACATTCAGAGGAATGTCATGTTGAACGTTTTGAACAATTTCAATTATTTGTAATGTAAACACAAGACCGTGTCATATTACCTTTAACTGACACTTCAAGAGTCTTGAACAACTGTGTTGTTTTGTACAGCGGTCTGACTGTAGTATTTAAACTTTCAAGTACATTTTCACATTCAAATATATGGTTTAAGATCAATGTTTTTAAAGTGAATAGAATGTAAATTACCTGAGGGTAAATATAAAGGTCACATGTTTGATCTGTTCCAACATGTGTGTGAATTTCCTGAGAAAAAAAATGTACATCTGTAAAAGTAAATGGTAAATTGTAGTTTAGCAAATAGGAGTGTTTTTACCCAACAGAGTGCAAGGTAGTTTCCCAAGGCCTCTGTAACACAGATATTTGTTCAAAAGTATACTGCGAGTAAAGGAATTCTTAGGTAAAGTGAGGAACTATCACAAACAAAATGCCTTTAATAGCCAAGCAGGAAATAAAGTTAGCTTTTAAAAACCTCAATGAAAAATCATCCATCGTCCATCATCAAGGGCTGCTTAATGTAGTGTGCCAAGTAATATTTATAATAGTTGTGGGATTGCAGAAGTTTGATAAAAGGTTAAATAAGAGTTCCACACACTCAATGTAAATACAAACCCATGAAAAATGCAGAAAGACAACTAAAGCATGAACCTAGACATAAATAGTTTAAAGGTAGTCTTAAGTATCCAACAGTTTGACCAGAAACGCCTTAACACAGCTAAAACAAAAAGGCAGGTAAAGATCAACACAAAAAGCTAAACACATTTAAACAAGATCATAACCAAAAAAAAAAAACAACTAAATGTAAGTAAAATCTGCTAAAGAAACAGATAACATTAAGCTACAGTCAACTGACAAGTAGAAAAATACTAGTAATAATCTCAGCTAGCTACAGTCAACTGACAAGTATCTTTAACTGTAGAAAAATACTAGTAATAATCTCAGCCAGTAGATGGTCTCATTGGGTCAAACTGTTAAATCATTTTAACTGTAACTTATTTTCCTAAGGTAAAAATATTATTTCCCCACCCTTCCCTCTCAGAATGCTCACTATCCTGACACCATGACAACAAAACGATAAAACAACTTTAGACATGTCAAGCCGTCTCTATTTTCTGAGACGGTAATAAACTATGCGTTTCCACAACTTCACATGAAGAGAAGCACATGGTGTTTTTTTGAAAATACATTTTTAATGTCTGAGCAATACATTATCTATGTATCCACAACAACATTTCACCACTTTCTATTTAATTTGATCGGCATGAACATTTTCCCTGAAATGAAAACAGATCCACAGACCATTGAAGACATTACAGTAGAATGACTTAACAGCCTTGTGAAAACACTGCTCCCTGGAGGCAAAGTGTGAGTCTTACATGAAGCTGCCTGCACACAGAAAACAAGCAGAAAAGTCAGCAATGAAACTTTGCTTTCTATGAAACGTCTGCTACAACATCAACTGCAGCATTAAAAAATACATGTGACACTTAATATCGATACATTTTCCTTTATTAGGTTCATCAATATTTTACAAGCAGTAGAACTTAATGAAGGTCAATTAAATATGACATTTATCACATGAGGCAAACGTTTATTGGTTGTTGTGTCCTGTGAAATCCCACCATCAAATATCTGAATGAGAAGGGAAACGACAGTTCAACCAATGTTAGTGGTTGACGATGCAAGAAAATAAATCAAAAAAACAAAAAACAAATAACTGTTAGCTTCAGCAAGCCTAATACTCACTCAGGTACTATTTGTCAATGCCAAGTTCTTCAGGTGTAGAGATGCCCAGCTCTTTTAATGTGGGCTGCAGCTCGTGGATCACGTATGGGTAGATCTCTTTATGAGGTCCAGCTTTGTGCTGTGAAAACAACTCACGGTCAAACATATCAATAATTAAACCATGACTACAAATTTGCATGTTTACATTCCTAGATTTCTGTCTTAGCCATCACTCCTTTTCCCCCTCACCTTCACAGCTTCCAAAATCCTTATGGCGGAGGCCATGTCATTTAACCTTCGACAGGCTCTAAGTGCTGCATCGAGGATCTTTGGCTCGGGCACCAGATCGTAACCAATCAACGTGTTCATCCCTTAAACAAACATGTGGAAGAGGAAAATGAAAACCTTAACAACATGCTGTCTTTGTCATTGTTATAACGGTCGCAGAACAAAACACAATCTACAGTAAAGGAGCTTTGTTTAAATATGTTATCAGTTTCAGATATATGAGCATATAGATTTTTATCAAAGAAGTGAAAATCCATTATACTTTTCCTATAATTACTAGGTTCAAAATTTTCACCTGAAATGAAGCAGCGTTTACATTTCTGTTTCATGCTTCCTGCATTTAGTTAATAACTAAACCACAACAAATGCCCACTCATTCACTTCCTCAAGTTCATGGTTTTATAGTTCTACAGAATAGAAATCTGATAAGACACTCTTTTATGCAAAGCTTGTTTTTCCAAAAAGTGTGTTCTGACATAATTAACACTCTTTAAAATAGGCCAAGCTTCAGGTTCAAGTGCGTGATGTCTCAGAAACACAAACAAAAATGTCTGAGGTATGACTTTCCCAGCATCACTGTTCTGTTTTGTAGGGCTGCTATGAACCACTGAAAATTGACTAATTGCCAGCCTGGGTCTGGGACTAGAAGCCAAAAGTGTCAATAAATCGACCCATCGACAGGGAGATTACAGCTCTACTGTTCTGTAAAAAGTGTTTGGAGAAGACAATGACTTTGATAGTTCTAATATATAGAAAACAGAGCAACTAACAACACATAACCAATAATCTTGGTATAATGTAACCAGTCTGTCTCTCCTTAACGTCTAAAACAAAACATACCAGTAAGAAAAGTCTGGGCAAGTCACACTTCTCTATCTAGATGTTGTTAATCTGTTCATCAAACTATCTAAATATAAAACGTATTAAATCAGAGAAACTAAAATGTCATAGTGACTAAACCTCAGCCACAGGTGCTTTGAGTCTGATTTGATTGGGACATCTTCAGAAGAACAATGCTCTTATTCAAATGTCTGTCCATTGGATCAGTGATGTTGTTCTTAAATGAAGAACTCAAACCTATGACTGAGAACTTGAACATGTGTAGAATGTTGATTGACCTCTGGCCTTGAGTGACCTGTGACCGGTGTTCCCTATATTCATAAGTTACTTCCAAAACAAGAACAGCATTCTTTACTAACTTCTCCTTCTGAACTAAAACCTAAACGGAAATACTTTAGTTCACTTTTGAATGCTCTACACTATGACGACTCATACATATATTAAAAATATATATTGTGTTGTACAGTATATATTTAATTGTGAAATGTCAACATAACTGCCTTTACAATGACAGTGACAAGAAATCATCATTAAACTGTACCTGTGATAAATAATGCAGGGGTGGTGGACAACATCAGCATCTTGACATTAAATTACCTTTTCTCAGTTCCCATGCGTCAATGTCTTGCTTGTTAAAGTAGGTAATCCAACGAGCATCAAACTCCTCATCCGTCTCCTGCTTCCCATGTGAGTAACACCTTGTGGCCACAAGACCTGCATGGAAAACGACAATTTTAGTTGGCAAATCCGTCAGAAGTGAAATTAAGCAGTTTTATCTCATGCCAGGTGGTTGGAAATGGCTAACACTGCATAAGCAGTGTAAAGTCACCTTTACAGAGTCAAGTGGGGAGAGGACAAATGCAGCCTACACGTGAATACAGCTGGACCTGTGCCCGTGTCCTGAAATTACCTCAGTACTCACCAGGTAGAAAATACTAACATTGAACTGCAAGCATTTCAACGACTTCAAACTGAAAGGACAATCATTGAAATAGCCGTAAATTGTAGTGATTCCAGGTATATTTAATTCAATTACACATCTTTAAGATTTAAAGCTTCTTTATTTTCTCAAGAACTACACTGACACACGATACCAGCGGTCATTATTAACAACACACTGACAGGACAAGTGGGTCAAACACGGCTAAAGCCACATAACATAGTTATCCTGTTAGTATCTAGCAACATTAGCATAGGCCCGAGTCACAGCCTCCTGGGTCACGACAAGGACATGGACACTACAGAGAATAACAATAGCACAGTTTAACCGCAGCGAATACTGTGACTGAATGAGCAACATCTCGGTAGCTCTACAGCTTAGTTATTTTCATCTAAAACATACACACATTTAAAATAAGGCCTCAAGTTAAAACAGAAACACCGGTTATGTCAGTACGCAAGCTAAGTGCTAGTATCCTCGACCACGTTTAACTTCCGCTGTAAGATCAATGTTTAAAACACTCTACAATGATATTTAGGCTTCCACATGTGACAGCAGAGGAAAAACAATACCTTGACAGCCGGGCTGCGTGCGAGTTACACTCCGAGCAGCGGAGACAGACAGTCGGGCTGCGGCTCTGAACATGATGCGGTTCTATCGGCTCTACAAAACCGTGAGATGTGAGCGCAAGGAGCTAACACCAACGAGCCCAGCCTGTCACGTACCGTCAGGATAGCGCTTGACGCGCATGCGCAGAACTTTGAGCGCTTTGATTCTTTGTGACCCGAATGTGACATTGATATTAGGCTTACATTCATTTTTTGCATTTTTTTTACTATTTTTTTACTATTTTTTTTACTATCTTCCTTGTTGTTATTATCTTCGTCTTCATCGTGTTTTTCTGCCTCTTCTTTTATAAGTTTAATTATCACTGAAACAGATCGTCTGACATAATTTCCCTCTGTGCCTTTATCCCACGCTTCAATCACCGTTTCTTTTACATTTTTATGTGATCACACACTCCACTTCTGCACTCCCACCAAGAAGGCTAATTTTCCTAACTAGAGGTCACCTTTGAATAGTTACCCTGTGCAGCTTAAATGTTAATCCTCCTCTTGTAAGTGTCTTTGCACAAGAACGTCTGCTAAATACATAAATGCAAAGTAATTCCTTTTCTTCAATAAACAATACTTTATTTTCACTGCCTAAGTGAGATAATTGATGATACTCCCACCCTGTGGTAGTATACATGTACTGCACTAACAACTCAATTTGTCATAGCATATTAAGCCAGAGTTAAATGGGGCCTAGCTCAGTTCTACCAAGATGTCAATAACAACTTCAATTACACATGATTAAAAAATGAAACATTTTGGCGTTTATTCGGTTTTGTGTGTCCTTAACAACTTTTCATGAATTCTAATGGGATACATACCATAAATAATGGTTTCTCAGGGAATGGATTTCCCTGAGAATGTTGACTTCCTATGTGTACAGTGCATTTATATTTGTTTTCACAGTATGTCTTCAAAGCAATGACCCGTTGGATTTCCCTGAGAATGTTGACTTCCTGAGTGTTAATATGGACATCTCCAACCTGACTATTCTCATATCTGAAACAGAGGAGAATCTTTGTCTGTAAAGATGTTAAAATGTAATCAACAGATTTATGTGTTACTTGTGTACACACATGGTCAGGGTATGGAATCACACCTTAGAAAAACTAACTAACTAACTAACAGTTTTGACCCTCTGCTTTTCATTATTTACCTTCACAACTGCAATGCACTTTAGGTGACTGCTCTGTAGAAACCATGCCTGACAACTGCAATGCACTTTTGGTGACTGCTCTGTAGAAACCATGCCTGCCCTGGCTGCTCCTTAGACAAGGCAGGAATACAGAACAAGAAAAAAAAATGAGAAGGTGTCCTTGTGCAAAATCTGCAGAATCAGAGGATGAATGTGAATGGAGTGTTGGATAAACCTGTGTGACTTTGTTCATTCTGTTGTATTTCTTTAGGAGTTGTTCTTTGGAGGATACTTTGTCCTGACCCATCTCTGAACAAGGCACAGATCTGAAGTTCTGAAATCTGTTCAAAACAAAAAGACAAAAAAAAAAAATCACCAACAAAATCAAGCACACAAGTATTTGTATGCTTTTAGTGACCATGGTAATACGTAATACGTGTTTTTACCAGAATATTCAAATGATATGCTTGAAACAGGGCTCAAATAGATGCCTTTCCCATAGACTCCGTGAAGCTTCAATAGAAATGTTTAAATGAAAACATCACAAAGTAGTCACTGAGAATGTAAGGCTATGTGTCAAATTACTAAGTTAAACATTTAATTTGTTTTTTACTGCACCTGTAGCTTTGTGAATGAGACATCAACCAGTCCGTTTCTTAAAATAAAAGTGCCAGTCATGTTATTTGTGAAGGTGTTCAATGTTATAGCTGGTAATGTTATTTTTCTTCTCATAGTGGATTCCTGGAAATGCCTGGAGCTGTTTAAACAGGAGACAAATACAAGATTTTACAAAACATTCTCAACAGAATCAGCTGACAAAAATAAAAAAACACATCATACTATAACATACTTTGACTGTGTAAAACAGATTTGGAGTTTTGCATGATATTTGTTAATTGTGCCACATGGTCTGAACCAGCCAGGTCTGCTCTTGCACTATCGGTCCACGATAGCCTCATTTGTCAGTTGGTTCCACTCGTGAGATATGATGCGTTTGAGAAGACTGGGAAATGAAAATAGAGTTTTTAAAATAGGCTTTTTGTTTGATAAAATTGTTAATGAATTATGACGATGACACCCACTTCTGCAATTGTTTACCAAGACTGAAATGATCTGTGTTGGAAGGCTGGAAGACTTTAACTGCAGGTGCCGCACAAGAAAAAGAAGAAGGAATTATCTGCCTTGCTAACACACATGCTTATTTTAGATAACTATAGGTTCTAATGAATTACTCCCAGGCTTTGGCCTGAGACAGATGCCGAGACAGAACAACAATGTCGGGTGAACATGACACGTGTTTGAACACAAACAAAATGGACAAAATAATGTATGTATATACACTTACATCTATTAAAGTATGTTGTTAATATTTAAGTCAACATCATCAATCATCAATTGATCCATACACTCTAAAAGTAAACACAGGAGAGAAATAATGACCATCCAGTTGAAACTGGTGGAGACAGTTCCTCATGTTCAGGCCTGGAACAAAGGGAAATCCATCTGTGCTCTTACCTGACAGAGACTGCAGTGTCTGAATACAAAGTCCTGACGGCCTGGATGTCTGCAGCCAGCTGAGGCTGGAGACACAGGTCAGTGATGGAGCTCTCCTGAGGAGACAAACACTGAAGCACTGAGGCCGACAGAGCAGCAACACAGAGGGCTGGAAATGTTGAATCGCTCAGTGTGTTTAAACAACAGTTGCCAAAAGTCACCAGAAGGAAAAACGTGTCTGAATACAGACTACTACTGCTGCTACAGACTGCTGCTGCTATAGACTGCTGCTGCTGCTACAGACTGCTGCTGCTAAACGCTGCTGCTGCCGCTACATGCCGCCGCTGCTATCCCCTCCGTCCGTACTTGC